AACATAACCTTGCTTTCTATGTCACAGACAAGGCACCTGGAGGCGGGAAACCTGAATTTACTTCTAGCTTTGTCATTAGCTGTGTGATGACCTCTGACAAGTCATTGACCCCCACCCCCAATCTAGGTCTCCACCAAGGAGCACAGAGTATACACAGGCGCCAAGGATCTGAGTGCAACCGATTATGACTAGTAATAATCAGATACATATGGATTAGAGATGTATGCACCAACATCTCAGTGTTAGTTGTAAAAACAATGATTTTCACAAGAAACAATATATTCTAAAAAGAAATGGAGATCTTTTTTAAAGGTTAAAAACTCATTCAATTTTATATTTTACATGGCTTATACTGAGTTCAATATTGTATAACTGTATTAATTGTGAACCTCGAAACTTACACCCACTTGTGAAAGAGATGTATTCTTGCTCTGGAGTGTGGTATTGAATATGTTAAAGCTGTAATGAAATGCTTCTTCTAATCATGTAGTTATTAAAATTTTTTTTAAGAAAGGAAGAGGATATACACAAAGTTGGGTGGGTAGGAAGGGAGGGGTGTACCAGAGAAGAGTCGGAAAGGGGGGGGGGCAAATATGATCAAAATACACTGTACGAAATTCTCAAAGACCAAATTTAAAAAATAAAAAATAAATGGAAAGGATCAACTTCAAATATAAAGTATGGGTAAATGTCAAGCACAAATATATTATTATAAACCATTTTGTAAAGAGAAAATTGTATGATTAATCACATAAATATTGATAAGCAATTATGCTTCACTGTTAAACAATTACTATTAATCTAAGATAAAGAAGCATTTGTGCAATGACAGCTACACAGTTCAGGCAGAATTTGAAAAGAATCCACAAGTAATGAACACAGATGCACTGACTTATTCGCAAAAGTACAAAAGGAATAACAGAGTTTTCAGTAATTGAAGTTGGAACATCAGATCTCCATAGTTCATATGGACAAAATGAACCTCACCAAAAGCTCACACCCCTATGAAAATTAACTCAAATGGATCCGATATTTAAATTTACAATCTAATTATGAAAGTTTTAGAATAAAACATAGGAGAAAATCTTTAAAGCCTGAAATTAGGCAGAGTTCTTGGATATGATAACAAAGTACTACCCCAGGGGGGAAAAATGGTAAACTGAACTTCAGAAAAATAAAATGAATTAATTAATGTTCTTGCATGGAGGCTCTTCTTCCTCCCACTCTATCAACTCCTTCTACCCTACCTTCTGCTAGGAATCCTATCTGTCTCTAGCTCTATCTCCCACACTTGAAATCTTTTAGCTCTTTCTTTTCTCTCAGACAATGGATTCACAAATTGTGAAATCAATTCACTGTCAAAACAAGAAATTTATAAATCCTTCAATAACATCAAAAACCTAAAGGTTCGATGATGTCTCATTTGCAAACTCTAAGAAAATATTTTCTTTATTTAAATTTTCTTAGCCCAATGCTAGGCATGGGCTACTTCCTTATGGGTTTTTGGTCAGCAAGGCCCGTGACACCCCCAAAACAATACAAGCTACTACTACTGCTTTTGATTGGTAAAACCCTATTGTTGAAAAAAATAACACATTTTTGTTCAGGACATAGAGAAATCAAGCTGGAACTGGCCTGCTGGCTGGGTTTCATAGTGCCAGAGGTGCTTACAGGCTGATGGGGGAGAAAAGTCACCAATAGTCTTATGCAGCACTACAATACTGACCTGCCAAGGCAAGATGTGCCCACTGTTACAATAATGGTATAAATGTTATGTGGGTAACCAACCACTTTCTGATTGGATTTGAGGCTCATACCATAAAGCCCATATCTAGGACCAGGGCAATGGCTCAGAAAGTAAAGGCACTTGCTGCCTAACATGATGACCTGAGTTCAATCCCTGGATCCCACATGGTAGGAGAAAATGGACTCTCAAAGATGTGTTGTCCTATGACTTCCACAAGTATATCATGGCAAGTACACACCGACTCACACACATAGACACACACAGAGACACACACATGATCGATAGACAGACAGATAGACAGATGCTTGATAGATGCTAGATAGATAGATAAATGCAATTTTTTAAAAAAGCCCATGGCTGGGGAAAATGCATGAAACTGGGGAGGAATAATGATGACGGGGCTTCGGAAGGAATTAAAGGGCAGGGAACGGGGGGTGCATTTGATCAATACACACTGTATGAATGTATGAAATTCTCAATTAAAAAACAGGAACTCACCAGGCGTGGTGGCACACGGCTTTAATCCCAGCACTCGGGAGGCAGAGGCAGGGGGGGCTCTGTGGGTTCCAAGCCAGCCCGGGCTACATAGTGAGTTTCAGGGCAGCCAGGGGTTACAAGGGGGCTCTGTCTCAAAAAAACCAAAAAAAAAAAAAAAAAAAAAAAAACAAGAACTCTCATGCGCGCGCGCACACACACACACACACACACACAAAACCACCCTCCTATATACAAAACCAGACCTTATGCTTCCACATCTACAACTTGTTCTTTAAGGGTTACAAGTTCCGTCCCTGTGATCAGTGCTGCTGAGCAAACATCAGGGCAAAATATTTTGGAGTCCTCACAGATGGAGCGTTTCTTTTAACTCGCGGCTGCAACTGGACATGTAGTCCTATCATTATGGTCAGATAACATGGCAGTTATGGTTCCCTGCTCTTGTAGGTGAAAGTGGGTTTTAAAAAGTCTCCTTGGTGAAGAAGTCCACATAAATACAGTTATGATGTCCAGAAGGAAGGGCCTAAATTGACTGAAGCTTTGCCAGGATACCAAAAATAAGGGTACTGTTCTACTTGTTTAATAAACTAATTTTATCCATACCACAAAGTATTTGCAATGTCTCTAGAAGCTGGACAGTTTTACCTTCCTGGCCATATCAAGTATATTTTCCTCTCCTATAATTCTTACTGAGATGGAGATAGTCAATCTTCATTTGAAATCAAGATATTTAAATGAAAAAATATAATTTTTTTTGCTAACACAAAAATGCTTACATATAATGACAAAAATCTAGGACTATAACTAATATACTAGTAGAATTTATTTGACAGAAGACCTGGAAAAGTACCTGTGCTGGATAGCTTTAGTGTTGACACACCTGTTGAGGGAGCCCCAATAAGGAACTGCCTGTGGACTGGCCTGTGGCCATGTCTGTGGGGCATCCTCTTTACTGAGTGATATGGGAGGGCCCAGCCCACTGTGGGTGGTGCCACCCCTGGACAGCATTCCTCCATGGCCTGTGTTCCAGCTCCTACCTCCAGGTTCCTGCCCTGAGTTCCTACCTTGGGCTCCCTGATGAACTGTGACCCGGGAGATCTAAGCTGAATAAACTTTTTCCTCCCCAAGTTGGTATTGTCAGAATGTTTTGTCACAGCAATGGAGAAACAAACTAAAACAGGACCTTTTTATATATTTCACTTCATTACCTCATAATTTCTAAAGCTATAGTTTAATTCCTTGGGAAAAATAAAGTAAAATAAAAAGTTTATTTCTTCAATCCATTTTGTTGTTCTACTTGAAGATCCTGATGTGCCATTAGTAAGTGTATTTAATAATCAGAAAATACCTTTGTAAGAGTGCATCCCAAAAATCACTTCAGAATTTTAAAAGTAGTGACCTCCAAAAATACCTTGTAAAATGAAAATTTACAAGGTGCAGGAAACAGAAGCAAAGCGAAGAGCACTTCCTTGATTTCATGCCTGTTGATTGGATAAAATACTATGGCAAAAGCAACTTCAGGGAGAAAGGGTTTATTGTTAGTTCATAGTTGTTCATTGCAGCAGGAAGTCGAGGCATCAGGAGCCTGATGTATCCGGCCACATGCTAGTACTCAGCATATTGATTAAAGAGTTTTAAATTTTTATTTACGTGTCTGTCTTGTGATTGTGCATACCTGAAGAGCCACAAAAGGGAGACCAATGTCCTGTTGTGAGCCACCCAACATGGACTTTGGGAACTACACTTAGATCCTCTAGAAGAGCAGCAAGTGCTGTTTAACTGCTGAGGCATGTATATGTCTCATATACATATGCATGTTTATGTCAGATAAGTGTAGATGCCAGAAAACTACGATGGGGCCCATGGGGGGGGGGCTTTGTGGTGAGGTAGATGAAGACTAACAAAGGACATGGGATATGAAAGTGAAATGGGTGGAGTTTAGGTGGGGATGGGAGGGTGGGACAATGCAGGAAAGGAGGGAAAAGGTAAACCAAAACTGAGTAGAGGGGTTGGGGATTTAGCTCAGTGGTAGAGCACTTGCCTACCAAGCGCAAGGCCCTGGGTTCGGTCCTCAGTTCCAGAAAAAAAAAAAAAAAAAACTGAGTAGGGAGGAAAATGTCATAAGGAAACCTGCTAGTCTGCATGGTAAATAAATAAAAGCTAGGAATATGACCCCCCCACACAAAAATGATCTGTTCCAGATACCTACAAACGTGAGGTTATCCAGTACAACTCCTTTCTCTATTACATTTGGCTATCATTTTCCTTGTAGGACTCTGTCATGGCTGGGAGCTAAATCTTCCTCTGGGGTTCCTCACCCTCATCAGGTCATCAAGATACTCTGATTAATTCTCCTTCCATCTCTGTTGTACTGTTAACTTTTTAAAGTGAATTTGCTCTCTTCTACACAATGTCTTTTGGCAATGTTTATCTGTGATCTAAGGAGAAGTTTTGCTTGGTGTATCTGTGTGGCTGATTCAGTGAGAGATGCACAGCATCTGCCCCTCTATCCTCAGTTAAACACATCCAAATACACACACACACATATATATATATATATATATACACATACATATATACATATATATACATACATATATATATAATGTGTATATATGTATATATATATATATTTGGCATTCTTTTGAGTGGATCACCTAAAACCAGTTATCCCTTTATTTCAAAACTTAATCAGCAACCAAATTCATGACTTGAAAGGGAAAACATCCTGCTTCAATTTACTGTCACTGATCAGTACCTTTTCATCATCCTGGTGGCATTTCACTGGTGATGTTGGCACATGAATATTAGTTTCATCATCTACTGCAAACTCTTTGCCAGACAGAAAGTCCCAGAGTTCAATCTGTAGGAAATACACAGTATAATAAAGCTAGGAAACAGAATGCTACATCATATAGAATTCATCATTTACTGTCACTGATGCTTCAGTGCAAACTATTGCTTTGCATATTTGTGGGTAGTTATTAACATACATAATTCTCTTTCTTGCATAATTTTACATAGTCTCACAAATCCTAACTTCACTGATAAACCACCATCTTAGTTGGAATTAAGACTTTATGTTGTTGCTGTCCTTTTTTTAAAAAAAAAAAAGGTATTTTATTCATTTTTATTCTATGTGTATGAGTGTATTGCCTGCATGTATAGAAGTGCACCCATGTTATGTAATCCTGCAAAGGTCAGAAGAGGGTGTTGAACACCCTGGAGCTGGAGTTATAGATGGTTGTTAGCTGCCATGTGGGTGCTGGGAACCAAACCCGGGTCCTCTGCAAGAGTAGCCAGTGCTCTTAACCACTGAGCCATCTCTTCAGCCCAGCATTCCTCTTCTTTCAGGACACTTTATTTAATATTTTGTTAAATAACAAATATTGAAATTATAATTCAATAATACATTATAACTAAATGAGGATATTTGAAAATTTTAAGAGTCGAGGAATTTTACCAGGCTGTGTCTATGTATGTATCTTTTCTCATCAGTATAACCTGGGACTAGACACTGGTCATCACTAGACTAAGTTTCCCTTCAGTTACCAAATACATTATGCAGCTAATTATGCTCATTTGCATCCGTTCTCCTCTCTGGGACTACTATCATCTTCATGGTAAGTCCTCTAGCTCTAATTTCCAAGCCTCTTTATTTTTCTCATTTCTTTTTATTTATTATTTTAATTTTATGTGTATGAGTATATTCCTTGCACGTAGGTAGGTGCACCTGTGTCATGCAGTGCCCTCAGAGGTCAGAAAAGGGTCTCTGAGCTCCTGGAACTGGAGTTATGGATGGTTGTTATCTGCCATGTGAGTGCTGGGAATTGAACCCCAGTCCCCTGCAAGAGCAGCCAGTGTTCTTAACCACTGAGTCATCTCTATAGCCCCTATTGTTGTTTTGTTTTGTTTTTAGTTGTGCTGTCTTGATTTTTTTTTTTAATTTTAGGAATAATGTTTTCTTTTTTAAAATTTTTTACAAAAACTTTGAGAATTTCATAAATGCATATAAGGTGTTTTGATCAAATCTATGCCCACTCCCTTCCCTCCAACACTCCCCCCTCTGAAGAGGTAACCCTAAAATCTTTTAAGGATTAGATACAAGCTCCCAAATACTTTTGACATTTTTGGCCTTGGAACAGAGTGTGTTGTGTAGCCCCTATTTTTCTCTTATTTCTTTACATACTGTTTCTCTGTACTTTAAAAGTTTACTGTGTTTGTCAGGATACTAATTTGGCTGTGACTTTACCACTGCAGTAGGAAATCTTTCGTTTTGCTTTTCTTTAAGTTTTCATGAAAATAGCTTATTTTTCATAAAAATTGCAAGGAATTATTTGGAAGTATTTACTTTTATATTACATAGAAAGTTTTTCTGCTTCTCTGTATTTTCATGTTTTATTTGAAATGTTAACATTTTTATAACTGGTAATTTTAGAACCCCATAAATACTATTTTTAAAAAGTGAGCCAAATGAAGTCAGTTTCCACACGAGACAACTCATAAAAGTTACAAATGTTGAAATTCCTCCCACACATAGAACACGGGTACACGAAATGTGAATTATCCCCATAACTGCAGTTGTCAGTCGGCATCTAATCCCTTTGTGAGAGGTTCATGATTTCCTGCATGCTGGAAAGAAATGTCTGTACTTCTGGCGGGAACTGTAGGAAATACTTTCCACCCAACCTGAAGCTTAAAAATAAACCTTTTCACCTGTCTCTGGAACATCCTAGACCTTATATACCCTTGGCAGCTATTAGGTGCTATTTTTCCAACCCAGTCTGTGATTTCACTTAGTTTGACTGTGTTTTTGGTTCCACTCACGCAATAAGCTTTTACCCACACCTCTAAGAGCCAGCACACCTGTCCCTACACCTGAAGACCGGGTTGGCAAAGCAGCAGGGGACCGGGCTGGAAAGAAAGGGTGTTTTGTTTGGGGAAAGAAAAGAACAAACGTTTCTGGATAAAGTGAGTAGTACAGCCATTTATAAGAGCAGTATCTAGTTCTGTATTTAGCAGCCACCATGTGTCCAAAAAGCCAGATGTCTGTGCTCTGGATGGACTTGGGAGGTCTCCGACTGGTTTTCTGTGTTAAACTGAAGGTCCGGTGTCCCTGATTTTGTATTCTCCGTTTCAACAGTGAGCTGGTGCTGCGTGGCTTCCTCAATGTTCTGAAGCAGGCGACTTTCCCACTGTCTCACCCGCTCCATGGCGGCAGTCAGCTTCCGGGGGCCTCGTCTGCCCCTGCAGGCTGTGTGGATCCTGGGCAACCTTGAGTTTCCAGACTGGGGCTGCTGGGCCAATAAAACTGGCACAGATGTGTCCTCCCCGGGAGCGCAGGGGTCCAGGCAGGACCCTAACTGGCCACTGGGCCCCTTGGAAGTCCTGGAGACAGGCTTCCTCTTCCTAGGCCTGCTCCTGGGGGCAGCTATGGAAAGGGCCTCAGTGGCATGGATGGGGAGGGCCTGGGAAGGGTACGCAGACGTCAGAGGGCCACCCTCCACATCCCCTTCACAAAGACCAAGGTCACCTCCCACAGGACTCCCACAGCTACGAGTCCTGTGTTGTAAGAGTTTTCTCAGTGGTGGCTTCATCAGGAAAAAACGAACCCTCCCATCAGTTCAGCATCCTGAGCTTCGCCTCCGGCGTCCTCCTGCTTCCCACCCGAGATAGCCCTGCGCCGGTTGGAGCGCGTGCCCATGCTGGCCTTTGGGCCTACATGTCCTGACAACCCTGCGGTCACCTACACGGTACTTCCAGCAAGCGCCCCTTCTTTGTGGGGTAAGACCTAGTAAGTCTTGTGTTTAGGTGTTAGGCTTGAGTTTTCTTAAGTATTTAAAGTTTCTCTATTCAAGGTATCATTCCCCTCTAGCAGTTCGGTTTGGTTGTGTGCTGCCAGCTGACCTTCTCTGGCTACCGGTAACCTCTGGATGAGTTGTTTCTCTTCACTGGCTCTTTGCGACTCAGTTCTGACATATTTCTACAAGTAACAAAAGGTGACCGTGGCCTTAGCAAACTAGCTGGAGAAACAAAAAGACTACCTCACCAAGGAAGTCTTGTGTTCTCCTCAGCCTTAACCAAAAGGAAGTAATTCAGTTGCTTCTTGGCTACAGACGGAGAATCTGCCAGCCCACAGATAGCATCTGTTGATCTTGCCCACGGGGTTCACAGATCCCTGTAGACAATTCTTGCTGGCCACAGGTCTCTGATGCTGTGGTCCAGATACCAGTGTTCAGGTGAAAACCAGCACTACCCCAAATCTCTCTCCTACCACTCCAGTTACAGTCTGGAGCTTTATATGCTCCTTCATGGAGAGGAATTAGGAACTCGGGAGTAAAGTGGAAAGAGATGGTTCAGGTTACCACGTTTCCAGAACTACCCCATCTTTATTTATCTTAATTCCTCAAAATTCCTGCATTATTTACACTGCAACAACAAACTTAATCAAGGCCATGAAAATCCAAGACCAGCAAGTTCAGAGGTATTTGGAATATTCTGGTATTTACCTTTAAACAACAGCACAGGATTGGGGTTACATTTAATGCAGTTTTGAAAAATCAATCTAGAACATGTTTTCCCACCCATTTTTTTCCTCGGTGAAAATTTCCTTAGAAAACATTAAGTATTAGAGCCCAAGTTGTTGGTGTTTCAGAGTTTTCTTCATGAACTTCCAGCAGTTCAGTTTAATTTTTGGTGCTCTGCAGACATGTTGATATTTGACGACAATCTTCCACATAGACAAGACAACCTGATGCTACAAGCTGATTCATTCATATGAGGAAATGTGTTAGAGAACTTAAGGACCAAGGACAAGATGAAAACAATATGCCTAACGATCTCAGTGCTTATATATGATTAGCTCTACACAATAGCTATATGAGAGGCAGTCAAAAATCATCTCTATAAGCAAGTAAATGAGCACAGTAACAATCATCTCTCACAAGTATCCTTCATAATGTGGGTGATGTACATGTGTGGTGCACAAGGGCACAGGTGAATGTGTGTTTTGAGGAAGTTATAAAAAGGCAAAGAGCTTTTGCTTTTACCCCAACACATTAATAACCTGAATAAATACAATATTCTCCACATCCCTTCGAATAATGAGATGGAAGCAAGAGCAGTGTTTCTCCTTTAAGACCATGCCATTCTCCAGCCCTACTGCCTGCTGCAATGAACACTGATGTAATGTCTGACAAGTTGTCCCTTTTGACCACAGGACGATCTTGAGGACAGAAGCTGACAACTCAGGTGAGGGGCCATCTCTGAGAGCCGCGTAACCACGTCAGGATTTATAGGAGAGTGAAATGAACTTCTATTTTCTCTAAATACAACTTTATAGTCACAGTTTCTATTATAAAAAGCTTAAATACTATTCCCAATAAGCATATAAAAATATTTCAATACCTCAAAAAATACACTAAACATTTCCTTCCAAGTCCAGCTACAGCCACTCAGCTATTACCAATACTTAACTATTACTTTATCGGCACTCAGTAAAAGTTATTTTCAACACTCAAAAAAATTACTCATATGCAGATTATAAAATAGTTTAGCAATTCCAATATAAAAAAACTAAGGGATGCTGCTCTATTTAGTTTTTAAATTTATATTCTATTAAAAAACATGTCTCTGTGTTTGCTTTGGAAGCATGTATACTAAAATTAGAACTATAAAGAGAAGATTAGCATGGTCCCTGCACAAGGATGATACACAAATTTGTAAAATGTTCCATATATTTTTTTAACATTATTTTTATTTTTATGTATCAGTGTATTGCCTGACTGTATATTAAGTGCACCTATGTCATGCAATGCCCACGGAGGCCAGAAGAGGGCATCAGATACCTTGGAACTGGAGTTGCAGATGGTTATTAACCACCATGTGGGTGCTAGGAAGCCAACCTGGGTCCTCTGAAAGACCAGCCAGTGCTCTTAACTGCTGAGCCATCTCTCCAGTTCATGTTTTTTAAAAAAGTTTATACAAAAAAGGAAGTCTATTATTTCACAGATATATCATACTTTTTTCATGAAATAACTCATATGCCTATCTAAGAAGATATTAAACCATACAGAAGAATTATAACAATCATTTATACAATGTACACCAAATAATGTACATTTGATCAAAAAGATGAAGGAAAATGATAGGCAATCTTGATCTAATTCAAAATGAAATCTGGCATTTTGGATTGATTTGTCTATCATAATTTTTTTTGTCTAGTAAGAAAATGTTCTTGGGGCTAAAGAGACGGCTCAACAGTTAAGAGCCATGGCTGTTCTTCTAGAAGACCAGGGTTCAGTTCCCGGCACTTAGATGGCAGCTAACAACTGCCTGGAACTCCAGTTCCAGGTGATCTGATGCTATATTCTGGCCTTTTTAGCATTGCACAACATGGGTTACATACATGCAGACAAAAGACTCATACACATACAGCAAAATTAAATATTTTTAAAAAAAAGAAAAAAATGTTCTCATATCAATTGACAATATCATAAGCCAAATAAACCTTACCATCAAAAATTATTTCTTTTGAGAGGCTAGAGAGATGACTCAATGGTTAAGAGCACTGGCTACTCTTGCAGAGAACCCAGATTAGAATCCCAATACCCACATGGCAGCTAAAAACCTTCTGTAACTCCAGTTCCAGGGGATCCAAAGCTCTCTTCTGACTGCTACTGGCATTGCACAACACAGGTACACTTACATGAATACAAGTAATATACTCATACACATAAAAAAATTAAAAATAAAACATTTTTAAAAATACAAAAATACTTTAAAATATATTTCTTTCAAGTAAAAACCAGCTGCCAGGTAACTAACTTTTCCATTTTTTATTTATTTTTATTTCATATGTATGAATATTTTGCCTGTATGAATGTAAATGCACCTATGTGCGCAATGCCCACAGAGGCCAGAAAAGGGCATCGGAACCGCTGGAACTGGAATTAGGATGGTTGTTAGCCACCATGTGGGTGCTGGGAACTGAACCCAGGTCTTCTGCAAGAGCATCCAGCACTCTCAAGCACTGGGCCAACTCTCCAGCCCCTAAATTTTCCATTCTTAAGATGATTTCCAATGCAAAAACATCATGAAATTACTGGATCTTTTGTTTCTACCCAGTATATTACCCATAACAAAGACTTTATTCTCTGCCGTCTGTTATTATTAAAACTAGAAATATTATGGTTTAAAAATCAAAGTATATTTAGCTGAATTCTAATTTGATTAAAGAAGATTTTTTTTCTTAAATACTTACAGAGGATATCGTGTTATTTTTTTCACAATCAGACATCAAAGTCCTGCATTTTTTATAAACATCAATCAGATCTAGCATATTACTATTCTTCAAGAAATCATTGTAAGTCTTCTTAATGTCTTCATAGTGGTCAACCACTTTCATACTTTCAATGGGCAAGTTCAGTTTCTCATGTAGTAAGTATTTCCATGTCAGTAAGACATCACTGAGAGAGACTGTAAATTCTCCATTTTGCTGAAAAAGATGATGGGGGAAAAAAGAGGGTAAGGGGTACTTACTAGTTGGGTAACAGAATATCAATTTTTCTAGTGGCTTTTGAATAATATCAAAAATACAAATAGCATTTTGTTATAGTCAACACTAAAGTTTTGATAATTTGATGAATATGAACAATTAAGACAAATTTACACATGACGAAATTGACAAAGGTAAAATAAATGTTTCTGAATTCTACTGTATTTCTTTTATTCAAAGTAAAAGGGCAAAGAGCTATACCTGAGTACCATTAACTAAGGAAACGTGTTTCTGTTAACAATTTTTAGTTCTTTTAGCTAAAATACTTTTAATCTATTTATTTTTTAATACTTTTTTTTTATGTGTACGAGTGTTTTGCCTGTGTACATGTACGTGAATGTACCGGTGTCCTGCAATGCCCATGGAGGCCAGAAGAGGGCATCGGAATCCCCTGGAACTAGAGTTACAGCTGTTAGCCCCGCCACGCCCCATGCTGGGAACCAAATCCAGGTCCTCTGCAAGAGCAGCCAGTGCTCTTAACCACTGAGCCATCTCTCCAGCCTTTAATCTCTTATTTAAAATTGTCAAGGCCATAATGAATTCCCACATAACAAAATATATTACAAGTCCAAGTCCTAGCTTTAAAATTCAGTCATGCAGATCAGGCTACTAGTATTATGACTATTTTCACTTCATTACTGTTACTGGGGTAATTTTTAGCAGTAACACTAAAAATTAGGGCCAAATAATAATTTTGATCCTTCCCTGGTCCTAGATACACTAAATTAAAATAGGTGCTTTAAAAAAAAAAAAAAAAAAAAAAAAAAAAAAAAAAAAAAACATTGTTTCTTTCTGTAAGTGCTCAAATGCAACTAACCAAGCAAAATTATTCTTTATTTTTTTTGCTTTCTGTTTATCCTGAAAGACATAAAATAGATTGTGATTTGGTTATGTTGATATATAGTTGCTGAGGAGCCCAGTAATGTTACCAACATGCTCAGAAGTTGGTATTGTTAACTATAAAAGCTTTTCTTGAAGTATCTTCTTATCTATTCACATGTTAAATTCTCAGTGGACATATTGAAAGCCTTTTTTTTTTAATTGAATGCATTCTTCTCCCACATTAATATGCTAGATATTAATAACAGTGACTTCCAAAAAGCACCTGCCTTAACTCAGTAAAAAATTCTAACACTGATGTCCAATTCAGCATTAATAACAAATATGTTTAAGTACCTAGGAGTGGATCTATGAAATATAATACAGGCTGCCTTCCAGTTAAGTTTCTACTAAGATCTTTGCATTAGTTCCATTTAAAGATGGGTAAGGTAATTAAGTAGTTAGCAAAACTGTAATTCTAACTAAATTGTAACATCTTTACTCAATTAAGAATAGAAAGATAACACATCCAAAATATGCAGTTGTTTTTAAAAAATCTGTATCTTTTATCTTTTATGATAATCAGTAACATATGTTACTTACCATCCAGATTGATAACAAGTTGTGTAAACTACCTTTATATATTCTACCTTTATATATTAGCTCTTTTACCCATCCATATCATGATAATTAAAAACTTATTGCAGGTGTGGTGGTGCTCTACTTTAATGCCAGCACTTGGGAGGGAGAGGCAGGCAGATCTGTGAGATCCTGGCCAGCCTGACCTACATATCTAAACCAGGCCTGCTGGGGCTACTAGGGAGACCCTGTCTCAACAACAACAACAACAACAAAAAAAATATATATATATTCCTATTTGCCTTAGGATAGGAATCTGTATGTCATAAATATGACATAACATACCGTCTATGAAGTTAGCTCAATGAACAATCCCAAAAGTTCATCAACTCTCAAACTCTAGAGCTACAACCGAAACAGCACTGTATCAAAAGTCGATATTTTAATACTTTGCCAATCCCATCACGGCTACACTCTCTAAAATTTCTAAGTGGTATTAAATTAATCAGTTAGCATTTCAATGCTGAATTTTTTCATCTCAAAAATTCCTAAAAGTGTTTTCAGTGTGACACTCCTTTATGCTTAAAACAAATTATTTTTCTCTTAATGCAAACACACAATTTATTTTTACTCTGTTGACTATAGCTAAAGTAAAACTATGAAGCTCATGACCTTGTGAAAAAGGTTCTGACCAGATTAACAGTGTTTATACTAAGACTGTAAAAACATTTTAAATCCAAATAAAAAGGCACTCCAAATATCAGTTTCATGATCAGGTGCCCACCATCACAACATAGCCTATTATTCAAACCAGTTACAACTGATTGAGAGAATATGTGTCAAATCAGAAAATGTTTTGCTATGAAAACATGCCAGCTGGCTAATGCATGAAGCAAGTTCAAAATGTTCAAGTCTTTAATTCTCTGATGGACTTAACAAGGTTGTACTTCATAAGAATAAAATGAGAAATGCAAGAATTACACATTTTTAAGAGCACTCGAGTTCAGTGGTAGAGAACAGGTACATTAAAAATATTAATTCTGTGACCTTGGTTGAATAAGATATTTCCAACTCAGCTCTTTGTGGTTATAAGATTGTACAAATTAAGCAGTATCTGATAAAGGGTAGGTAACTAAACATGTCTATTTTTTTTTTTCTCTTTCCCTTCTCAAAGTAAAATGATTCTTGCAATGGTGGTAGATAAATGTACAATTTTAAAAGCCTGTTTATTCTTATTTGGGAGATCATCTTCAAATCTAACAGTTTATCACAGGTACTATAATTGTTTTCTATTGTTATAAAATATCTATTTCATATGATGAAACATATGCAATACTCATTTACCTTAAATAAGGTGGCAAATATCCTATACAGGATAATTGCCAGATGGAGTCAAACCAGGAAACCATTTCCAAGAAAAGGCCAAAGTCACATATATTGCAATATAATGATGTCAACAGTCCTCTATGAATTCATGTAGTATAACTTCTTAGCATTACAAAGTTCCTAAGAACTGTTACATGATTCAAGTTTTTTTAAAAAATCCCCTCTCACAAAGCACGTGAATATCCTAAAACTAAAAAACCATTCTAGTATGCCTATTTATGAATGCACATGTGTTTCTTGCTTCAAATTGTTGAGTGTCTCAAAGTCTGTTCAGTTGAGGATGCCTCAATAATTACCTCAATAATGGCTCTGTATGTGAACAACTGAAGTAATCCCATGTTCATGAATTAAAAGGACTAATAGTATTAAAATATCTATATTACCCAAAGCAATCTACAAATTCAATGCCATCCCTATCAAAATTCTAATGTTTTCCACAGAAAAAGAACAAACAGCTCTCAAATTTATATACAATCACAAAAGACCATGAATAAACAACATAAATACAAGGAAAAAAATGAACAACAATCAACAAAAAATGGAGCCATTACACTATCTGACTTCGATAGGCTACCTTTTAGGCTACCTCATATGCCTAAAATTCCAGTTACTCAGGAGGCAGAGGCAGAGAATTACAAATTAAAGACCAGTCTGGGCAATTTAATGAGACTCTGTCTCAAAAATAAAAAGGCAGCTAGGAATGTAGCTCAGTGTCAGAACACTTGTTCAGCACATGTAAGACCCTCAACACCGCAAAAGAAGAAAATCTTCAAAGCTACAATCATCAAACTAATATGATATGAGCTAAAAAAAATCATACACACCTTTAATCCCAGCACTTGAGTCGCAGAGGCAGGCAGATCCTTGTGACTTCGAGGCCAGCCTGGTCTACATAATGAGTTCTAAGACAGCTGGGGCTACAAGGAGACCCTGTCTCAAAAAGACAAAAAAAAAATTCTGTAAAAACTCTTTTTAGGTTGGAGATATGGCTCAGTGATTAAGAGCGCATACTACTCTTACTGAGGACTAGAGTTCTAGTCCCAGCTCCCACATTGGGCAGCTCACAACTACCTACAACTCTAAATCCAGGGGATCTAACACTTTTGGCCTCCTCAGGCACCTAAGAGCCCAGAAATAAATCTAAAAATTTCACTCAATTCACTTTTGGCAAAGATGCTAAAAACGCACAATAAGGAAAAAAACAAATTAGACCCTTATCTCACATCATATACAGAAATCAACTCAAAATTGATAATTTAAGAAACTAAAAATATAAAAGAACTAAAAGAATACATAAGAGGCACTTTCTATGGCCTTCAGGTGAGAAATTATTATAAGCAAATGGGATTTTATCAAACTAAAAAGCTTCTGCACACAGCCAAGGAAACAAACAACAGTGAAGAAAAAATGCTACAGAATAAGTGAGACTATTTCCAAATCAAAAACCTAATCATAAGCTAACACACAAAACTTCTAAGTTCAATAGTGACAAAAGAAATGACCCCAATGAAAAACGAGCAAAGGCTTCTGAGGGGAGATGGCTCAGTGGGTAAAGCATTTACCATGCAAGTATGGGGACCTAATTAGAATCCCCAGAACCATGTAAAGCTGGGTAAGGTAGCAACAGTCTGTAATCCTGATGCTCCTATTGTGAGGTGGGAGTGGAGACAGGGGAATTCCCAGAAGCCCCCAGGTCAGCTAACCTGTGCACACAGCAGACAACAACAAATGAAACCCTGTCTCAAACAGGGTGGAAGGTGCGGACTGACACCTGAGGCTGTCCCTTGACCTTCGCATGTGCACCATGGCACACAAGTGTCACTACACACACACACACACACACACACACACACACACACACACACACACACACACACACACACACACACACACACACGTTTTAAAAGTGAGCAAAGGATCTGAATATACAGCAATCAAAAAAAGACATTCAATGGGCCAAGAAAAATGAAAAACTTTCCAGCGTAACTTATCGACAAAGAATTGCCAGTTAAAACAATGAGTTTTTATATCACAGCTTTTAGAAAGGCTGCTGTCAAAAAAAAAAAAAAATGAAAAGCAAGAAATACTGACGATGTGGAGAAAGAACTGTCACAGTTTGTGAGTGGGATTCAAATTAGAATACTGGTACCAGAAAG